ACTAGAGATTGTTTTAAATTGTACAAAGCTGAAAAGATAAGATTAAAAGCTCTTTTTAGATCAAATTGTGATAAGGTTTCCCTCACTACTTATTGTTGGACCTCTGTTTAAAATTTTAATTACTTAACTTTCATGGCTCATTTCATAGATAATGAGTTGAATTAACATAAAATAATCTACGCTTTTCAGTGGTTCCCTATCATAAAGATGAGACCATAGAAAAGCATATTGAGAACATCTTAAGGGATTAGGGCCTTAGAAATATATTTAGTATCATTATTGATAAAGCTTCTTCCAATGATGTGATTGTGGGATATTAGAAAAAAAGAATTAAGAGTTTTAGTGGGCTTGTTTTGGATGGTCAATTCTTGCATATGAGATGTTGTGCACACATATTAAATTTGGTTGTTAATGATAGCTTAAATGACATGTATGCTTCCATAAGAAGCATTCAGAATGTTGTTAGATTTGTGAGGTCTGCATCTAAAAGGCTAGCCAAATTTAAAGAGTATATTGATTCTGCTAAAATTTCTTAAAAAAATAAAAATAGCATGTCTTGATGTTTCAATTAGATAGAATTCAACATATTTAATGTTGGATTCTATTGAGAAATTTCAAGTTGTTTTGAGAAGCTAAAATTTGAATATGCATGTTATTTGGATTATTTGGGACTGTTGGTCTCCCTACAAGCATTGATTGGGAGAATGCTAGGGCTTTTACTAAATTTTTTAAGCTATTTTATGATGCAATAAATATTTTTTCTACCATCGTTCAAGTCATTATACATGCTACTTTTTTCACCAATTAGCTTTGATTTTGTGTAAGTTGAAACAATCTTCCATGAATTTGAATTCTATAAGGGCCTCAATGGGATGAGAGATGAAAAGAAAATATGAGAAATATTGGGATAATGTTCTGAATATAAATCATCTTCTATATTTTTTTGGAGTTATTATCGACACTCGATATAAGTTGAAGTATGTTGAGTGGTTTTTCAATGATATGTACTTTGATGACATTAGTTTTTCAAATGATTTAGCCAGTAGTGTGAAACAGAGTTTATGTGAATTGTATAATTGTTATGCTATAACTCATAAGCATCAAAATAAGGAGGTACAACCTTTTTTTTGTTTCAATAGAAGGGTATTCACATGGTCAAACATCTAATCCTACCATACTTGCAACACATTTGGTTAGGACAAATGTTTTTAAACAACATTTGAAGATAAAAGATTTTATTGATCAAAAGAATGAACTTGATAGATATCTTGCTGAAGGTTGTGTTGATGGGAATGAGAATTTCCACTTGCTTCTATGGTGAAAACATAATAGCTTGCAGCAGGTTGTGTTGATGGGAATGAGAATTTTCTATTACTTCTACAGTGGAAACATAACTCCTCACATTTCCCTATCTTATCATCAATAGCAAGAGATGTGTTAGCCACACTTGTTTTTATTGTGACTTCTAAAAGTGCATTTTGCATTGGGGGTAGAATATTGGACATATTTAGAAGTTCATTATCCCTTGAAATGAACAAGACACTTATTTTGCTCATTTGTTAAAGCCTTCTCTTTATCAATTTAAACATCTTGATATTGGTGAAAATTTAAATTTTTTTTGAAAGAGTCATATCAGGTGATTATTTTTTGAAATCTTTTTTATTTTATACATTTTTTTTGTTTCTAATACTTCTTTTTAATGCAATGAAACCGAGAAATTCAAGACGAGTCATCTAATGTTTGTGGACTTGGATATGCAAGTTTACTATCTCAACTTTTCATCATTGGCTGAAATACTTGACTAATATAATTTTTTGTAAGGTATTTTCTGAATTTAGTTTTCTCATTTAATGAAGTAATTAGATATTATATATTTATAAATTTTATTGTATATTTACAAGTTTGAAGGTACATTTTTTAAAATATTTATAGACATGACATATTAGACTATCAACTAATGATATATTTTGTCAGTTATTTCTAAATTTAATTTTCTATTTTAATGTATTATTGATATATGCAAATTTAATTTTGATCGTTTTATGTGTGCAATCATGGGCTATTATTGTATTAGGCTGAAATACTTAACTGATACAATTCTTTGTGAGTTATTTTTTAAATTTTTATTTTAATGCAATAATTAGACATTATGTATTTATAAATTTTATTGTATATTTACAGGTTTGGAAGTCTTTATTTTTTGGATATTTATAGACATGACATATTGAAATATCAATTAATAATATATTTTGTGAGTTATTTCTAAATTTAATTTCTTTTTAATTTATTATTGATATATGCAAATTTATTTTTGGTTGTCTTATGTGTGCAGTTGTGGGCTATTATTGTATTTGTAATATATGTAAGAGTACTCAACTTTCTGATTTTGGCATCAACACCTCCAACTTGACTATTTTGGATAATTTATAAAATATAGTAATTAAAATTGCATAATTTTCATATTTTCAACTTTTTTTATGAATCATATGTACATATCTGTAGCGAAGGCTATTTTGAGTGGCTATTATGTGATATAATGACAATAGGGCTTATATTATTGAAATTTCAAGCAAATTTTCTATATATTTTTTTATCTTATTACTTTATACAAAGTTTAAAAAATGTTTTTTATGTATGATGTTAGTGAAACTAATAGTATGTTAACAATGCATAACAAGGAAGATAATTCAATTATGTAATGAAATTGATGGTTTGAATGCTAGAATGATGACTTTTTTTTATACAATTTATGTTACTGGTTTGATGATTTTGTTTATAGTATAGCCTTGTGCGATTGGTTGAGAGTTTAAGAGTTGTCTCACTTGCAACTTCCACACAAAACAAGATGTATGAAAATTAGTTCAAATCTGTCTTTTAAAGAACTTTTCATTTTTTTTTTCAAATAAATGTTAATTTGCAAGTATTATGTATTCTTTTACATAGTTTGGTTACTAGTTTCTAACCCAATGCTCATCACAGGATTCTCAATAAGACATATTTTACAATTTTTGCTCAGAGTGAAGGAAACAAATTTATTTTGATTTGTTTTTCAAAGTTATTTTCTTTATTTGATTGATCTCATGATTATCAAATATTTATTATTAGCAATGGGCATATTATTTGGAAAAACATATGATTTGTTATAATTAATTTAGCTCACATAGGTAATTGTTTATTGGTATTTACATGAAGTTACAAATTTATAAACACAATTGAAATACATATGTATAATCAGGAATTATGAGTTGTAAACATATAAACTTGTGAAATATGTATGTATAATGAGGTTTCTGAATAATTTTATTTACTTGAGCTGACTAGAAATTTATATATTAAAATTTTCAATTAGAACTCGGTAGAGCAAAAAACTATTTTTAATCAAGGACCTAAAACATGAAAAAATAAAGTCTACTTTATTTCTTTTACAAAATTTTCTTTTAAAAAAAGTTAAAATGAGCCTAAGTATTCCAATAAAAAAATACATTAAAACTGTGAAAATCCACTCTGACCAAACCATTGATTTTTTACCTGACAACTTAATCAACTCAATGAGTTTAAAACTAATTTCAGTTTAAAATATTTGTATACTTAATTAAGGTTGATTTTAAGCCTCTAAACTCGAACCTGACCAAACCTACCTGTTATCCACTCTAGTAACATTTGGTGTGTGGCTCCTCTTGAAAGAACACCACACACCAAATGTTACCATGTGTCATCTCTCCTATGTGTGACCTATTTAATGGGCTTAACACACCATATATCACACTTTAGTGTGTGATAATTTTTAATGTACCTAATACATTAGAAAGTTTGTCTTTTCTTAACTTTTTTTTTCTTATATTTTATTGTTGAAACAACTAATTTTGGTATTTTATGAAATTTCTTATCTTAAAAATTATTTTTTAAAATAATACTATTTAGGTCAATTAACATCCAAACTAATACTTTACTCCAAAATATTCAAGTGCCTAACTAAATTGTATGCTAACTAAAAATTCATTAATATTTTCACAACTACTCTATGCTCTAATTTTAGAATAATTAGGAAATTTAAAGTTTTATTATATATATTGATGTTAACAAAAAATAAAAAAAAGGTACTATTAAATAAATTTATATTTTTAATTTCTTTTGTTGTTTTAACTTATTTTTTAATGTAAAAAATGATCATTTATATATTTTATATACAACTTTAATATACAATCTATGTTTTATTTTATTTTTTAAAAATAAATGTAAATCATATATCACATTTATGATATATTTTTTAAATAAAAAAGTTAATAATTTTATCTCATATATTTTGTATCTAATATTATTTTTGTATAAAAGTTTTAAAATTTACATTACTTATGTGATTTGCTGTATGGATTACACTATATACAAAGTTTGTATTGAAGGGAGTAACTTACATATGACAATATATTCCTATAGAGCATGAACAAAACTATTTATTATAAAGTAGTGACTTTTGAAAATGCCAGTGATAAGAGTAGATGACATCATTTAGTTTGGTAAAAAAGGGTAAAGGAAGATCTAAAATAATTTTAGAAGAAATTGTTAAAAGTGATCTTTTGATTAATAATATTTTTAAAAACTTAATTTTTAACTAAGTTCAATGGTATTGTGTGATCATGTAACCAATCTCATCTAGTGAGATATGACTTGATAAGTGTTATTGTTAGATTATTTACATAATATGAAAGTATGTAATAAAGACATATTTTAAAAAAAATGTTTAAATATATTGATCGATTGACGAGATAGAATGTATGTAAATCAATATTAAGACTTTAGTTACTAAAGTGTTTCACATTGATTAAGAATATAACAAAATTATAAGACTTAAGCAATGACCTTCTTATGAGTTAGTTTTTAAAGTAAGTTAAGTTCATAATATCAAAACTTATCCACATTGAATATTAAAAATACGAAAGTAAGAATATTTCTCATAAAACATGAAAATCCTTCTTTATGAACTAGTTGAGTGAGTGCTTGCATTAATCCAAATGTGGAAACAATCCCAATCGAGTAGCATTAATATAATCCTGGATAATATGAGCTGATAATCCGGGAAATGCCAAGCCCAAAAGCCTAAAAAATCTTAGAAGCCATACTTCTTGATATTCAGGTCCATATTTATACACAATAGTAAAGCTCCTGCATAGCTCCCAGAACGCATTGATGCTCATCGGTATCATCTCTTTCCATGAAATGTAGTTCTTATTCGGCTCCTCTTGTAGTTTCTGCATTAATTTCGTATGTGAAGTTAATTTTGCGTTGCATCAACTATTAATTTAAATGTACTTAATATAAAGACAATTTAGTCTTAATTTTATTTCCTAAAAAAGTATTTTTAATATATATATATATTTTGAAAAATATTTTTTTTATTATGATGAAAAGTTGTTAAGTGATTCCATGAAAAAGTCTTACTATAGAATATAGGATATTAGTTTTTGATATTCATTTCAAGATTGGTAAACAAAGAATTTAACAAGTTATTGTTATAAGAATCAAGTGGTGGTTACTTAAAGGCAAGAAACAGTTTAACTTTCATAAGCAATTAGTAGAAAAGGATAATAAAGACAAAATGGCTACAAAGGTTGTCAATACAATTTTGGGTGAATTTAGAAATCTTGGACCAAATGACAAAGAATCATAGTGGTGGAAAAAAAATGTGCAAGAGAAGATTAAATTTAAGACTGTTTTAAAATTTTGCATATATACAACAATGCCAAAAAAAAGGACAGAGTATCATAATATAAGAAATAAGACAAGAAGTCAATGAGTGAAGTATGTTTTAAGGGTTTTGAGAAGTTCTATGAATATCTCAAGATAAAGTATGGTGAAAGAACGATTTATAAGCTTGTTAAAAGTAAAGAAAGAAAATTTAGATATTTGGATTAAGTTAAATGTACTAAAGATATTAAAAGAAAATTTTTTATTTTAGATAAGACACCAAAGATAAATAAGAGAACTATTTTTATAAACTTTTTAACAATATGACAATGAGCAAATAGAAATATAGCATATTAAAAGTGCAAATGATTAATATAAATTTGACATTATCGTAAATTTGAGCAAATAGAAATATAGCATATCAAAAGTGCAAATGAATAATCTAAATTTGACATTATGGTAGAATTCGAATTGGAGAAGTAAAGAAAGTTTTAAAAAAGATGAACAATGGTAAATCAAATTACTTTAATAATAATCCCTATTGAAGTTTGAAAAAGTTTAGAAAAATAAGAAATTGAGTGACTTGCTAAGTTTTTTAATAAGATTTTAAAATATAAGAATATTATATATATATATATATGGAGGAAGAATAATTTGGTCTCTATATAGAAGAATAAGAGAGATATCTAAAATTGTAGATATTATAGAGAGATTAAACTTATAAATGACACAATGATGTTGCAAGGAAAAGTAATTGAATATACACTACGTGATAAAATTGAGATTGCAGAAAATTAATTTAATTTTATACTAAGAAGATCTACAATAGAAACTATATATCTTTTATAAAAGTTGATAGAAAATTATCCTTATAAAAAAAAATGATTTATATATTATTTTTATTGATTTTAAGGCTTTATTTGAGAGTTTAAAGAGGAAGAGAAGAAAATGATTTGAAGGAAGAAGGAGGGCAGGGGAAGGAAGATTAAAGGTATGTTTGTTTTCTATTTTTAAAAGAGTTTTTAATTTTTTTTCTTTTAAATATAGTATAAATTTATACTATATTTAAAAAAAATTTGAAAACTCTTTTTAGAAGAGAAATCAAATATATCATAAATCACTCTCTTGTTTGATGTTTAATATTGAGAGGAGAGGATAATAGGATATTTAAAAATGTAAATGATATTATTATTCTTTATATATTTTATTTATATATTTTTAATTTTTTCAAAAAAATACAAAAATTAAATATTTTTCTTTCTCTAAAATTTAATATTTTAAATTTTTTATAATCTTTTTAAAAAAAGTTCTCAACTTAGAAACTAACATATTTTGAAAAAAAAAATAGAATCCTAATCATGAAATGATACGAAACAATGGGCGAGAGAAAAACCTTCCAAAATAGGAGAACTCAAAAAATCAATATCAATTGAATTTTAGAGGGTTTAAAAAACTCTCTAACTCTTTCCCTCTTAATTAAGTAATTCCAAACAACGATTAAGTCGCACTAACCCCTCCTTTTCTAAACATGACTCTTAAACATAGTCTAAAAAACATATGACTAGAAACGTTATGAAAGACTTTAGAAAAAAATAATCATGTAATATATATTTAGACTACACAATACAAGTATGAGAGACTAATTATATGTGTGAGAACTTCTAAAAATGTATATAGGAATTTTTTACAGGGACAAATTTACATTAATGTTTTTCTTTTTGTCTTTACTTATTTAACCTTGTCCATGAGTGACATATAGAGACTAAGTACATGTTTTTTGTGAGTGAAATAATGTTGGTTGATGATTCAAAATAATAGGTTGATGCTAAACTTGTGTATATTTATTATAGTTTTAGCAAAAAATAATATGAGAATCAAGCGTTAAAATTGAATTTAATATTATACTACAAGTCTTTAAGTTTAGGTATTTAGAATCAATTTTACAAAATGATGAGAAAATTAATGAAATTAACAAAAATGTTACTTATGAAATACAAAATGAGGGGTTAAAGTAAAAAAATAAATAAATAATAAAATATAAAGACTTATTTATGACCACAAAGTACCTATCCATAGAAAGAAATGTTTTATGATACTATAATATGATCAATTATCCAATATGATAATAAATATTGGACTTTAAAGTAATAACTGAGAAAATGATAAAAGTAACATAAATAAGAATGTTTAAGGTGAATGAATAGTTACATAATAAATAATATAATAAAAAATAATTGTATATGTAAAACTATTAGAGTAACAACTATAGTAAGAAAAAATAATTAATAGCTGTTTTAAAGTAATTTGGTTAAGTAAAAAAATCTCTAAAAACACTAATAAAGAGAGTGAATAACATGACTTTTAGTTCAATGAAAAGAAATATTTAAAGACATAGAAAAATCTTAGAGAAAATTATTATAAATAATCTTTTGATTAATAATATTTTTAGAATTTTAATTTTTAACTAAGCTTAAAATAGTTAAGTAATCTATGTAATTAATTTTATCCAGTAGAATAAGACTTGATTGTTGTTATTGTTGCATAGTAAATTAAAAAGTTCTATTTTTCATAAATTTCTTTTACAGATATCTTTTTACATAATCTTAATTTTTTTTAAAACAATTTTTTAAACAATTTGTATTAACCTCAACTATTAATAATGAGTTTAAATATTTAAAAACAAAAAACGCATTTATTAATTAAATTATAAAAAGTATGTTTTTAATAATAAAAATTATTATTAATTATTTATGTTTGCGAGGAAATAAAATTTTCCAGTAAACAAAATATCTCTTAATGTACGATCATCAAGAACTAAGTTAATTGTACAATATGACATACCTCGCATTTATAGTTCCTGTCATAATAAAGACATGTCCCAAAGTGCTCAAACATCATGATCTTGTCATCGAAGGGCAACCTAGGAACAACGTCGTTGCAGTAAACAAACCTGTAATACTTAATATTGTGTTTTTTCAAATTTTGGTTCATGTAATTGGCAAACGTTTCATCACCAACTCTAGGTTGTCCAAACGTGTACACCCCTTCAAGCTTCTCCAAAAGAAACGTCTCATCATGCAGCATCAGTACTGCGGGAAAGAGAATCGCAAGAGCTCCACCAAGACTATGACCCGTCACAATAAACTTTGCTTTATCACTTCCATGCAAACGCTTCTTTAGTAAATCCCTTATGGCGTAGTAGGCACGTGGACCCCTCTCATCAGTTTCAATTTCCTTGGGCCAACCTACAAGGTTTCTCTCTAACTGTAACTGTAACCCTAAGGCTTTCATGAAGCCTGCATGGGTTTTTCCAAAATCCTGAAGCTCAAACCATGAGATGTCAATGTCGGTGGACCATGCATCAGCATCAAAAGGTTCGGTTCCTCTGAAAGCCACCACATAGGTATCGTGGTCTTCACCTTTGTCCAAGAGGATGAATGCCTGAGTTGTAGCTTTTTCTTGATAATCTACAAATATAATTTTCAAACACGAACAAATAATAATTATTTTTTAATGTTTTGATCATTTAATGGTAGGCATTAAGTTTTCTCCTTTCAAGTTCTTACCATTCCAGTAGTCACGGCATTCCACCAGTTCCATCTATATATGTGAGAGCATAAAGTTAGAATAGGTATCAGGGTGGGCCCAACACTAAAGAGGGTAAAGCTCCCACTTTAGGATCCTAATATTTTTTTCGTTTATTATAATTTAAAAAAAATAATTTATTAAGGCCTATTAATTTAAAATAAACAGACAAACACATAAAGTTTTCTCCAATTTTGTTTCAAGAAAAAATTACACAATAATTTTTTATTTGAAAGTAAATAAAATTATCAAGCAATTTTAAATTTAAATTTAATTCTCTTATTTTAATATTTCAAGTTATTTTAAGATCTAAAAAAATTTAGTTAAATGCTACCTATCATGACTTTATCTATTTTCATAAATTTTACATCTTAAGAAACTCAAGATAAATTTAAAATTAAAACTATACTAAATTTAATAAATCGCGTTTATTAATTGAAAGGACTCAACTTAAAATATGATTAAGTCTGTATTTAAGTTGCGCTTGCCCCAATGGGTATACATAAGAGATTCAGCTCTTCGACCACTAATTTAAATCAAAATATTTTTAAAACATAGGTAAACATAAACAAACGGTATAGATGAACCCTTATTTTACTCTAAAATGGTTAGCTTTGCTTTATTAAGTATTTTTTTCTTATTTGAAATTTTTTTTTTTAATTTTATAAAATTGATAAATAATAAGTTTTTTTTAATTTATATTGATAAAAATAATAAATAAGTGAGATATTAATTTGTATAATAACAGAAGAAATTTAAAATGCTAATATCTATACCTTCCAGCGATCTTCGACAATAACTTGAATGACTGCTTTATTCTCGTAGGATACTTTAGAAGCCATTATAGACAATGCAGCATTGTACTTGCTGGGTTCTTCACGTTTGATGCTACAGTCCAAGTCCATTCGCGTATCCAAATGATTAATAAATGAAATATAATTTGCAGACTCTTTATTCAATATCTCCTTACCTGTTCGTAGTAATTAACCAGAGGGATAATCATAGAGACAAAATTGATAGAAAAAAACTTAATTACTTTAAATTAAATTTAAATGTTTTATTTAATTGATAACAATTTAAGAAATTATAAGCTTATGAGAAAAAAAATCCTGAAGTTATTATTAAAAATGACAAATTGTTTAATTAAAAAATCCTGAACTCAATCGATCATTGGTGCTGGTATACAAGGTTTATATCATCGATCTGAGTTCATTCGAGATTTTAACTATTATGAAGATCAAAGTATAAACTTGAGCATACAAAAAAGAACATAACAAACCTCGGAATATGTTAGGGATAAGCATGAAGACATTATAGTTGTTGGAAGCTTGTAGGTTCAAAAATACTTCAACTATGTCGCCAAAGCATTTTAATACATTGGCCATCGAGTGCAGAACCTTCTGTACCAATAGCGATAAAAATACGAGCCATTTATGGCTGAAGCGTTCTTCGACAATGAACTCAAGGCATTGCACAAAGTCTTTTTGGTGTAAATCACTTCCAAACAAGATCTGGAAGAGTTGAATGAAACCCATTTTTTCGGGTTTCAAGAGCATAAATTTGGTAGCAATAAAGTTGTCGTCACTGCTACGACCCATGACTAACTAGAGAACAATCAAGGGAAGAAAAGAGGATTTTCGGATGCCTTTGCTTGTTTCAGGAGTTCCACGTATATCCTTCGTTTATATAGAGTCGCGAATGCCAACAAGAACAAGCAGCTATATAAATTGATACTAAATTTGTAGGTCTAGAATTGGTCGTTACTCGTTACAAAAGACATTTGACGTCAATTGAATATTAATGCACGTGTTTAACAATTTGGGTATGAAAGGGTTAGAAGGTCTAGGAAACAAGACATAGAAGTCATTTTTTTTTAGTTTGGTTAATAATTTGATGAATTGTTAATTAAATATTGTTATCGCGTTGGCCCAAAGGGAAGACTTAAGTTTATGATTCCGGTTTGATCTGAAATTCTTATATATAAAAAATTACTGATGTGAGAGATCTCTACTTTAGTCTCGGACAATGCTTAAAGATATACCAGCCTCTTAACAAATAGAAGAATTAATATAATGAGTAATAAAAAATATTAATTAATTAATGATTAATATTGATCTTTTTTTTTTTTAAAAAAAATACACACTTTTTTAAAGTTCTTAAAAAATATGTTATGTTTAATAATAAGTTATATTTTTCTCTTTAGCTAGTGGATGAAAGGTACTTACCAAATTTCAATAACATTTCAGAGTTCTTGTACGATCTATAGCAAGTTCCATGTGTTACACAGTTCATTCCTTTAGTAAAGTATATTCTTGTTGCTTAGAGGAGGAAATCGAAAAGCACAAAATACCTATTTTTGAATCCAGGTTCTACCTCAACCTTTCGATTGCGTGTCCTGATTGGTTTGGTATGTCAATAACAATATTATTTAATAATACTAAAAATCAACTTTTACAATTCATGAGACTACCTTCTTGTAAAAAGAAAAAGCATGATCCTTGACCCATTATCTAGCTTATACACGATCATTTGGTCCATCCATCCATTTTATTTTAATGTGCACTTATGATATAAGTATGGGAGGATTAATTTATGAATGTTTAGGAGTTTAGATGTAAGGTCATTTTACTTTAATTGGTTTTGGTTAATATATAAATAGACGATATTATAATAATTGGATAACATTTAATATATTTTTCTTTCGATCATTTAGAATAAAAATAATAGATAGTTTTTCAGTTCAGATTTTAGTTTTCATTACAATTTAATTATATTTTAATATCTTTTATTAGTGATATAAAGATATTCCTAATCAAACTTTAAAAACTTTACTCTAGAGTCTTGTATGAACTTCAACAGATTACATGTGTTAGACAACCACTTTCTTTTCTTAGTGGTTAGGTATAGACTTTTGTTGCTTCAATATCCATTAGGAGTATCTTCGCTAATGAATGTAGGATAGATATTTGAACCTTCACTCGGGTTAGTAGAAAGTATGCTAGATAGATAGAATATTTGATGGAAGAATAGAGAATTCTTTTAAAAAGCCTATTATAATGGGAAAGCCTTATATCTTGAAATTAATTCATCAAGTTGATGATAAAATACATGGACGTTTCCGTGGACATTATACACTTGTTACGCAACGACCCCTTAGAGGAAGGGCTAAATGGGGAGGACAACGGATAGATCGTGGCAATTTTATAGGAAAAATAACAACACAACAACTAAAAGTACCAAAGTACGCAGCAGAAATAATTTTTTCAATTTGCAAGAACCAACGAGAAGTAACAACAACAAAAATAACAATAACAATCACTGAGAAATATAAATATTTTTAATGTGAAAAAATCCTCTCAATGTAAGAAGTAAGAACCTACGGACATAAGTCAATCAAGCTCCACTATGATCAAATAAGAGGTACAAGAGAGTCTAAGCAAATGCACAAATAGTTGCTTACAACAATCAATACATCAAAGCAAGCTTTCAATTAGAAGAACAAAAAATAAGAAACTTAAAAATAGAGCAACTATGCAAAATTGATTTCTCCAACCACAAACTTTTAATTCACAATCTTAAAAATAGAGCAATTGTGCAAAATTGATTTCTCCAACCACAAACTTTTAATTCACAATCCCAACAGTCAAAACAAAAGACGCTATGTCACGAACCTGTTGTCCACTTTTCAGCTCGATCTAATGGTAAACAAAGCAGGAATCACAATTTTACTGAAACTGATATGTGAATATGTGAACAAATATTTTCTATCTTTCTCTCCCCAAAAAGCTGCGAAATTAACTCACTTTCTTGACCTAGAAGACTGCTTTCCACTTGGTTTAAGTTAGACAAAGTGGGCCTGAAGTTTGGGCTTTTTAGACACATAGTTAGGAGCCTAATCCAACACATCTCCCCCCTCCTTCACAACTATGTGGAGGTGACTCTTAATCTAGCGATCTCACAACAAACTTCAAGCTTTCATATTGGTAGTGCCTTAATCATCATATTAGCACCATTACCATCAGTATAAACTTTATGTAACTCCAACAACTTAGCATCCAAAGTATCACGTATTCAATGATACCTCATATCAATATGTTTGGATTTAGAATGGAAAATTGGATTCTTACCAAGATAAATAGCACTTTGACTATCCACAAATAATGGATAGTTTTCCTGCACAAAACCAAGCTCTTGCAAGAATTTCTTCAACCATAGTAACTCCTAGCATGCTTTAATAATCGCAATGAACTCTGCTTCTATAGTAGACAATGTTATATACCTCTGTATCCTTGATTACCAAGACATAGCTCCCCTTGAAATCTTAATCAAATAACCTGAAGTGGATTTTCTAGAATCAATACTTCCAGCCATATCTGAGTCTGAGTAACTCACCAAAGTAGGCTTATCTCCAAAACAAAACCTCAAATCACTAATACTACAAAGATACCTTAAAATCCATTTCATAGAATTCCAAAGCTCTCTACCTAGATTCGACAAAAATCAAATGACTATACCAACAACATATGCAATATTTGGTCATACATATCATTGCATACATCAAACTATCCATCGCAAATACATAAGGAACTCTGCTCATATCTGTCTTCCGAGCTTCATTTAAAGAACTTTGTTTAACACTCAATTTAAAATTAGTCGCAAGAGGAATGCTCACAACACCTTAATGTAGTGCTCTTATGATAGCCAAAACTTCTTCTCTTTTCTATCTCGCATGATACTTATACCAATAATCTTGTTAGCAACTCTCATGTCTTTCATGGAAAATGACTCGCTCGGTTGCTTCTTTAACCTTTCAATCCTAGAAACATTTTTTCCAACAATAAGAATGTCATCAACATACAATAATATGATAACAAAGTCATCATCAAGAAACTTTTTAAGAAAGACACAATGGTCAGAAGTAGTCTTTTTATAGTCTTTGTCACACATAAAGGACTCAAACTTCTTGTACCATTGTCTTGAAGTTTGCTTCAAACCATATAGACTCTTTCTGAGCTTACACATATAGTCTTCCTTGTCTTCAACAAGAAAATCATTGGGTTGCTTCATGTAAATCTCTTCCTCTAATTTACCATGAAGGAAAATTATCTTCACATCCATCTGCTCAACCTCCAAATCAAGAGTAGCAGCTAAACTAAGCACAATTCTAATGGATAATATCTTTACTACAGGTAGGGCTGAGCAAAAAATCCAAACATTTAGATCTAATCCATAACCAAATTAGTTTTAAAATCTAAATTTTTAATCAAACTAGATATTTAGATTCACTTTATTTACTATCTAGATTTAGACAATATTTTATTTAATATATCCAGATTTTATTTATTAAAACTGGTTTGTTTTAAAAATAGCTAGAGCATTCAACGCATTTGACTCTACCGTACTTTTACTCCACTCACACTGGGAGATAAGTATCGTTATAGCTATTTAACAATCACTTACAAAAACACACAAGCTCCAATTAATATCATTTGTTTTACTCTCTTTCTTATTTCTTAAAAAATTATTTTAATACTCATAAATCAAAAAAATTTCTCAAACGTTATAAAAATAAATAAATAAACTATATTTAAATTTAAATTACCATACATTTTAAAATATTAAGAATTTTGATTAATATTTTTAAATAAATTTTCAAAAAAAGTACATTAATAATATTTCTAATTCATCAAAGTATATTTTTTTTTAAAATTATAATTAAAAATGTAATAAAAATAATATAAAATTAAAAAAATTAATTACATAATAATTATACTAATTTAGCATGTAAAGCTAATTTAACTAAAATTATATATTTAAAACTAATTTTAAACCAAATCTAAATTTTAAAATAAGTTTAAAACTAGTTTTTTTAATAAAAAAAAATAGATTTAAAATCCAAAATATATATTCAGAGATGTAGAATTATTCTCTTACTTCACCCTAAAGATTCACCTATTTTCTAAGGCCTTTTTGCCCTTAGGAAACGTTAATAGGTCATAAGTGTGATTATTAAGTAAAGATTTCATCTCATCTTGCATTGCATCCATGCATTGTAGCTTTATTTCACTTTCTAAGGCCTATTCAAAACACTTATGTTCTCCAACATCAGTAAAGGTCACATACTCATCAGAAGAATACCTAGAAGACGATTGTCTTGGCCTGTTGGACCTCTTGGGAAGGACTTGTGGTAATTTAGATGCATCATCAAAATCATCATTATCATACCATATTATGTTCCTCTTGAACATCATTAATCAGAACCTCTAATCCATCTCCAACTTGTTGATCATCAACATCACCATGTTGCTAATCATTTTGAGCATCAATCTCGGCATTGTCTAGGTTGTGAACAGGTAACTATATCAGATTACCATCAGTCAGATTACTATCTTTCTCGGGTATAGTCTTCTTCACCTTGTTAATATCTTCCATGGTTTGATCTTCCATGAACTGTACATTAGGACTTCTAACAAGCTTCTTCTTAATAGGATCATACAACCTGTAGCCAAATTCATCCTAACCATAACCAATAAATATACACTATCTTGTCTTTGCATCCAACTTGGATCTTTCATCCTTTGGTACATGAACAAATGTCTTATAATCGAAGACATGCAAATGATCAAAACTAATATTCTTGCCAAACCAAACTTTGTCTGACACCTCATAATTCAAAGCAACTCTAGGACTAAGATTAATAATATGCACTGCTGCAAGCAATGCCTCTCCCTAGAAATGCTTAGGCAACTTTGCTTCAGAAAGTATACACCTAACTTTTTCAACCAAAGTCCTATTCATCCTCTCTACAAGACCATTCAACTTAGGAGTTTTAGGAAGAGTCTTTTCATGTCTAATACCCTGCTGCTTGCAATAAACATAAAAAAGTCCACAGTACTCACTACCATTATTAGTATGGATGCATTTCAGCTTCTTGCTTGACTGCCTCTTAACCAAAGCATGAAATTTTTTGAATTTTTCAAGCACTTAGTCCTTTATCCGTAGTTCATAGACCCATAGCTTCTTGGAATAATCATCAATGAAAGTAAAAAAGAAAAGTACACCACTAAACAACTTTACCTTCAATGGGCCATAAACATCAAAATGCACCAATTCAAGCAACTCTGACTTCCTTAAGAGAGGATGCTTTATAAAGGATACTCTAGTTTGTTTACTAGCCATGCAATGAGAATGTTTCTCCAACTTTACACACTTCAATCCAAAAAACACATCCTTTTTAACTAAGCAATTAAGCTCATTTTCACTGATATGGTCAAGCTTTTGGTGCCACAAAGATACCTCCATATACACAACATTCACACTGTCTTTAGCAACCAAAGCTTTAGTCCAATACAATTAAAATTTTTTCTCCCTTGTAGCTATAACAAAGTTACCTTTGGTAAGCTTTCATTTACCAGAACCAAAGTGATTGTCATAACCACTATCATCAAGCAAATGCATAGAAACCAAATTGAAACAAACATCTAGTTGACTCCTCTAAGTGACAATTGCACTCTCATGTTGGTTTATAAGCAAACATCACCAATACCAACAACCTTTGACGCACCATCATTACCCATCTTCAACACTCCAAAATCACCAGAAATGTAAGATGTGAATAACTCCTTCCTTTGTGTAACGTGCAGTGTAACACCATTATCAATTATCTACATACTCTCATCTGATATAAGATTAACATACTCATAGTCATAAAGAAAAACAAGATAACCTCTTGTAGTAGTAGTGACACAATTATCATTACGATCCTTCTCTTTCTACTTGCCCTTCTTACCTTTGTTCTCCTTTTTCCATAGAAAACAATTCCTTTGGATGTGCCCAATTTTATTACAATAATAGCACTCCACAATCCTGTATTTTGACTTAGACTTGCTCCTGATCTTCTCTCTACCACCCTTTGGTCCCTTTTTCTAACTTCTCCCCCTATTTTCTGTGACAGGCACCTCAGACTGAAATGAAGAACCTTGTGCTTCCTTCTGATCTCTTTATTAAGAACACTACTCTTTGCTATTTGCAAACAAACAACACCAATTAGGGGTTGAGTTTCTAATTGAAACTTGAAATATCTCCTGAAACTCAGGTAGAGTATTTAGTAGCCATACCCCATAACTTCGTCATTAAAATTGATACTCATTCTTAATAGTTGATTTAAGAGCCCTCGAAACTCATTCAAGTGGTCTAAAGTGAAAGAACTCTCCCTATACCTCAAATTCATCAAGCAAATCAACAAATGCAACTTATTGTTGCTTAACTTAGAAGTATACAAGGACTCAATCTTCTCTCACAAAGTTCTAGCATGTGTCTCGTTATAGTGTGATTATAAACATTGTCTTCTACATATTACCGAATAAAACCAAACATTTGTTAGTGTTCAAAGTCCCATACTTCGTCATACACAGAATTTAACTTCTGAGTAGCAAAGACCAAAAGATGCAATTTCTTCACAAACAATGAGTATTTCATCTTTCCCTTACACAAATGATAATTTGTACCATTCAAAGCAATCATCTTTATATTTGTCTCCATCATCATTCAAGCAAGTAAATATAACCCCAAACCAATGAGCTCTAATATCACTCTTATAGGAAAAATAACACCACAACAACCAAAAGTATCAAAGTAGACACAATAGAAATAATTTTTTCAACTTGCAAGAATCAACGAGGAGCAACAACAACAATAAATGACAATAATAATCACAGAGAGACAAGTTCCACTACAATCAAATAAGGGATAGAAAAACCCTTATTTAACGTAGAAAAACCCTCTCATTGTGAGAAGTAGAAACCCACGGGCATAAGCCAGTCAATCAAGTTCCACTACAATTAAATAAGGGGTATAAGAGAGACTAATCAAATATACAAACAACTGCTTACAACCAATCAATACATCAAAGCAATTAAATTTTCAATTAGAAAAACAAAGAAGAAGAAACTTAAAAATAAAGCAATTGTGCAAAATTGATTTCTCCAACTACGGACATCCAATCCATGATCTCAACGGTTAAAACAAAGGATGTTGTGTTATGAACCCACCGTCTAATTTTCAGCCCGATCAAACAGTAAACAAAGCAGGAATTACAATTTTACCGAAGTTGATATATGAATATACAAACCAGTTTTTCTGCCATTTTCTCTCTTCTTTCTCTTCCCAAAAAGCTGCAAAATTATCACACTCTCTTGACCTAGAAGACTGGTCTTCACTTGAGTTAAGTGAGATAAAATGGGCTTAACAAATTTGGATTTTTTAGACATATAGTTGCGAGTCTAACCCAACAAATTTTGCTTGGTTTAACTTGTACAGTCATGAGAAAGGGAAATAAAAAAAAAATTAGTTAAGAATTTGAAATACCTTTAATTTATATCTTATAAAGAAACCATACTACTACCAGGCAACGACGTCGGTGCACAAAATTGTGCTTAATCGAGATAACACATGCAAATTAGATCGAATTAATCAACAAGGCCAATCAATACAACATGTTAAAACATAAGTTTGTAATGTTTTGGTCCAATTAGTTTTCGTTACATTGCCTACCTCAAGACTAAATGAACAGAAGGGTTGTGTTACATAGGATGATATTTTGTTGTTGTTGGTTGTTTTAAGATTGATACATCATCATGGAAATCACTCTACTTTGAAGTGTTTTTCAATCGATCCTAGAAGAGTGGAATTAATATAGTCTTGGGGACCATGTGCAGGTAACCCAGGAATTATTAAGCCAATAGTCCTGAAAGAAAAGAGAAGCCATCCTTCTCTGTAGTAAGGTCCACTTTGATAGACAATTCTGAAGCTCCTTATTATTTCTAAAATTGCGTTGAATATCATTGGTATCACGCACCATAGTGAAAAGTAGTTTTTATTCGGTTCTTCATCAAGGACCTGCATTAAAATCAACATATTTAAATACTTACTTACAATACCGAAAAAATTAAATACATATATAAAACGAACGAATCAAAACAAAAATGAATAGTTGTTTACAGTACTCGTTACCAGACGTGAGTAGAAAACTGTACATAAAATTAAAGATAATATCATAAATTAAGAGGGTGCAAAAAATGTACATAAATAAGATCGATCGTAAATAAAATTTGATATTTGAAAGTGACACATTACTTATTTTTATTTTTTAAAATTTTATTTTACACAATTTAATACTGATCCTTTTAAAGACTAAAAATTGTTAAAATATTAAAATGTAAGCAAGTTAATATATTTGATGATTATTAAATGTATAAAATAAAATTTTACAAACATAAAAACTAAACAAAACATTTTTTTCAACAATTAATTTGTATATTTAGTTGAAATTGTATATTTAGGGAATGTTAAAAAAAAAAAGATTTTAGACAAAATGGAATGGAACGATCCATTCATATAATTGTCGTAATTGCAATTGAAGTTACTGTAAACCCTTAGACTATGTAATATTTATAAATATATATTTTTACATTTTAATATTTATTTATATTAAAAAAATACTTATTAAAATAAATAATATGATGAAATATTATTTAATTTTAGTTTATAAAATTTTACAAATTAATCTGTTTAATAAAAACTTAAAAATTAACTATTGAATTTGATCCTATTTTATATTTTATAAAAATATTTGAGAGACACGTGGAGAGAGGGGCCATCTCTTGCACTATTTACATCATATTTGTGTAGTTTTATTCGATTAACATATTTTTTTTATATATTTATTAATTCGATTTTATTAATAAAACTTTTTAAGACAGTTTAAGTATATAAAAATAATAAATTTTCATTTTAAAATATTTTTCATGCAATAGATACTGAGATGTGTAAAATTAATCTTCAGAGTTTAGGGTAATATTTTCTTTACTGATCAAGATAATTACGATATTCATGATATGGCTTACCTCGAGTTCATAGCGGCGGTTAAAGAAAAGACATGTCCCAAAGTGCTTGAACATCATTCCCTTGTCATCGTAAGGCAACCTTGGAACTATATCGTTGCAGTAAACAAACCTACAATATCTGACAGAATGCTCCTTCAATTTTTGTCTCATGTAATCAGTATATGCTTCATCTCCAACTCTTGGTTGTCCAAAAGTGTAGATCCCTTCAAGCCTCTCCAATAACAACGTCTCATCATGCAAACACAAGATTGTCCCAAAGAGAATTGCGAGTGCTCCACCCAAACTATGACCTGTCACTATAAACTTTGCATTTTCATTTTCACTCAACCCTTTCCTTATAATGTCCCTAATAACATAGTAAGCTGAGGGTGGAAGATTCTCATCACGATGATCAATTTCCTTAGGCCACCCAACATTCTTCTGTAGACCTAAGGCTTTCATAAAGCCACCATGCATTCTTCCAACCCCAGGAATACCATACCAAGAGATGTCAAGATCGCTGCACCATGCATCAGCATCAAATGGTTCCGTTCCTCGGAAGGCTACAACATATGTATGACGATCCTCATGCTTATCCAAGACAATCAAGACTTGAGTTGTGGCCTTTCCTTTATTTCCTTGATATTCTGCCCAGTGCAAATAAAATATTTTAAAAAAAAATATATTAATCAATCAAGGATTAATACTAAAAACATTTTTGTTAAAACAAAAGATGTTCTGTTAATCTTCAATAGCATTAATTTAATTTGTAATTGTGTATGAACATAGGGTATATGTCTTTTAGTTCTTACCATTCTGGCAGTTGTAAAACCCCACAAATTCCATCTGTAGAACTCATCAGAAAACAAATTTAGTCAGGGATACCTCAAAGTGAAGTGAACTTATTGATTAGACTAATATTTTGTTTACTTTAGTTTTTATTATCAATTTTAAGTAATTAAAGAAACATTTATTAAAAATTGTTTATTACATAAAAATTGAAAAGTGTAATAAATATGATTTCTTTAATAAATTCTTTATTTATTTATTTGATTAAAATATGTTCATTGAATCATTATTTTTATGTACCTTCCAGTGATCTTCCACGGTAGTTTTAAGGAAAGCCACATTCTCGTAGGATGCTTTAGAAGCCAGCATAGAGAGTGCAGGATAGTACTTGTAATCTTCCCGCTTGACGGCGTCAGAGTCCAACTTTACTCGCACGTCCAAATTTCCAATACAAGACAAATATTTTGCTGATTTGGGATTGGGCAGGACCCACCCACCTGTTTATATATAATTATATTATATATTAAGCTAACTAAAGAAAACAGAAATTAATATACAAGTTATCCTCTCGTACGTAACCACATATTCATACTTTTGTTGTGAGATGATAGCTCCAATTTAGATAAAATTTTCAAAACATACTTATAAAAGTTAAAGGTTAAATAATAAAATGAATCACAAACTTTTTAAGAAGTTTTCTCATTTAACTTTTTAAAAATTTAAAAATATAAGTTATTTTTAATGTTTAAGAGAAATTTTATTAATTTATTATACTGATTTTCTTGTTTTATAAAAATTTATCTAAATTAGACTATAATTATTTTTTTGCTATATAAAAATTAGACTATAATTATTTTCTCAATAATGTTTCAATGGCGACATATATCTCTCTCCTTGAACAGTACGATGCAGCAAGAGAAAGAAAGAAACAAATTTTGTACAATTTTATTACAAATTAAACTCCTAAATTTTTATATATCTGTTTCAAGACTCAAGTTTACTCTCTCTCTCTCTCTCTCTCTCTCTTTCTATTTTTTAACAGCATATCATCCATTTCACCTCTTATTTTTTCCTTTTTCTTTTCTTACCCAATTTATATTTAAAAAGATATTGTCAAACTAAAATTTTTGCACAAAATTAACTTATGTATATTTCTTGTTCCCGTTATACCATAAAGCAGTTAAAAGATTAAAACATAAAAAGAATATCTATGTTTGTCAAAATAAAAGGCAAAAGCTTGAGGATTGATTTGAGTTTTTTCTTTCACAAATATATAATTACAAGATTACTTTATTTGTATTGTATTTGTCTTTAAACGTTTATATATAAAAAAATAGTGAAAATAGAAAGTCTCAACCTTTGTATGTTTTCAAAGGAATATCTTGATAGGAAAATAATCCCTTGACATTTCTTGGTAAATATAAGATATGATTATTGTCATTCTCATATTTATTATCATTTATTTTTAAATAATTTTATTTAAAATATAATTTATCTAATTTATAATTATATTAAGAGTTTTCTTAACTTTTGAGAATAAGTCCTTAATAATAATAAAATTTTATTAAAAAAATATTTATTATATTTTTATAATTTTAATATAATAATTATGTATTTTTTTATAATTTTTTTTATTTATAAATACTTAAACTCTAAAGATGAAAGTTAAAAAAAATTCTTATATCAAAAAGTAAAAAACTAGTATTAATGCAAAAGGAAGAAGAAATAACCTTTGAGAAAGTTAAGGACAAGTCTCAAACCACAGCCGTTGAAGGCAACAAAGTTCATCAAAAGCTCAACGCAATTCCCAAAGAATGCTAGTGGCTTGGCCACAAGCAGCAAAAGCTTCTGGGCCAAGATGGAAATAAATATAAGCCATCGGTGGCCAAAACTTTCATCGAAAGAGTCCTCTGCATGGGTTTCCACAAACTTTCTTTTAGGTAAGTTTGGGTAAAACAAGATGCGAAGGAGATCAAAGAAACTCGCATCTTCAGCGTTCAACAACATGTAACTATCGGCAAAGCCCTTGTTGCAATCGGATGCCATGGCTACCCAAGTAATGAGAGGAGCAATATTATATGCGAAATCGTAAACGATAGTGCTTTTATGGGAGCTATGTTCCTTTGTCACGAGCTCTACTCAGATTTATATTAAGCCATAACAGCAAAGGAAATGTTTGAAAAATAAAATAATAAAACGTGACAAATTAAATACAATGAATACATAAAAATTAAAAGAAAATGTAAACGCGTGATATTTTGTGGAGAGCAAATGAGTCTCTCATCCCTTTCCCTTCTCCGGCCCCACAATGGTTAGTATGTAGAGCCTTCTGCCTCAATGCCTCATCCAGTGCCGCCGACCGGTAGGTGGACTTTTAATAATAATACTAATGGGCATATATAAGGTTTTGGGCTTTTTTTCTATAATTTTTTAAAATTACCTTTTAAATATTTTATTATTATTTAAAAATTATAATAGATGACTCTTATTTTTTTTAGCTTTTTAATTTTTTTAAAAATTGTCAATAGTGATTTTTAATTAAACTGTATATATATCATAATTTTTTTAAAATTATCATATTTTAGTATATATTATTTCTCAATACCATATATAGAAAAAATAATCTAAGGATTTTCTCTTTTTAATTTTTTTTATTTATTTTTATCTAAACTCTCATTTTTGTTTTTATTTTCAAAGGAGTCTTTCATTATACATTTTTTATTGAATGGTCTCCTTATAATTTTAGTTTTTAAATTGGTTCCTGTAAATATTTAAGAAAATGTTTTGGTCCGTCGAAATATTATAATGATTTTATTTTAGTCTTTATAAATATCATGAAATTTTCATTTAATCATTTTAAAATAAATAAATAAATTTATAGTATTTAAATGGACTAAATAAAGAAATTATTTTAGTAACCAAAAACATTTCACAAGGAACTCATTTAAAAAACACCCAAATAAAAAAAATTACAAGTTGTATTCTTAATTTAATTAAGCTACTCTCTAGTAGGTGACTATTCTTAATACCACTTTTATTTGCTTGGTTTTTTTTTTCTTCTTCTTCTTTTTTTTGTGAAAGGTTCATCCAGTGATCGAAGCCCTGGTCCAAAACTTACAACTGTCGTGTACCTAGTCATACACTAATTTTTTTATTTCCTGTCATTAGAATATAAATCTAATCATCGACGTTATATATTTTAGTTGTTATATTTATTTAAATCAGTTCATGTGTTATTTGTTTAATTTCTATTAAAGATCAAGGTTGACTATTAACTTAAAGAAAGTTATCTCTTGCGCTCATGTTCCATGATGGAATATTTTATGTTTGCTTCCATAAATACTCAATAATTTCATAGACTAGATATACATAAGCACACGGAGTCTATATGTTTAGTATATATAAATATGATCAAAGAGTGTTTGGTTGCGGTCAATATTCCATTAAATAAGTACTTTAACAGTGTTTAGCCAATCATGCTCAATATTATGGCCTTTTTTACGCTTTGCTCAAATTGATATGCAACGTTGATGGGGTTGGTAGACATTGCAGATTCAATTCTCTGTAATAACTCATCTGACGAGGAAAGGCATGAAAATTACCAAAAATTATATTGTACTAGGAATGTATGTGACCTAACCAACCAATTTTAAATAATTGGAAAAAAGAAGAAGAACTTAACCGATTAATAGAGTTTTGTTGTCTCATACAAAAGAAAAAGTTTTGTGTGGCATTATACGTGTGTGTGTATATGTATGGCGAATCCTCTCTTTATACTTTGACATGACACGTTATGTTAATTAGTCAATGTGTTTTCTCCCCTTTTTCTTTACTTCGTTTTCCTCTCCATCACATGTTCAGGACCATTATTGTTATAAATATTTTGCTGTTGCCCATTTTCCCAGTGTTCAAAATTCCTCTTCGTCCTCTATCATCGATCACAGGAGACTAAATCTCAGTTCGAATCATCAATGGGAGCCCCATTTGCAATTTGACTCTTTATACGGCAGTCAAAGTTCCAAGTCTAATTGTATTAAATTGACTAAAGCAATTGAGAGTTTAAAAAAGAAGAGATAAACAAAGAGTTTAATACATGAGAGGAAGGAAGAAAACGAAATAATTTTTTTTTAATTAGAAGTTTAATATTGAGAAGATGGATAATGGATAGTTTAAAATGTAAATAATGTTATTATTTTTTTATAATTTTTATTTATATATATATTTTTTTAATATAAAATAAAATATTTTTTCTTTTTAAATATTAATATTTTTAAAATTTTTATTTTTATTTGTATAATTTTTAAAAAATTCTTACTCTAAAAGTTAATATTTTATTTTATTTTTAAAAAAAATTTCTTGCTATTTAACTCTAGGCCATTTAAAAGTTTGATTTAACAAATAAAAATATAAATGATAAACTCTATACATGAGTCACTAAAACTTCAAAAAAAAAATGGAAGAACTAACAAAACAAAATTAGGAGGATTTTGAAATTTAAAAAAAAAGTTTCTAATCTTTCCTTTCATATTTAATTAACTTTTAATTTAATTAACTTTTAAGTAAAAGCTAGTGATCACTAACATCTCCTTTTTCATTTAAGATTCGGTATATGTGCTATAACTATTTACTTTTATAGGATACCTGATACTTAATTAGTTACAAAGGGTATTTACTTAACAATATGCAAACCAAACAGTTTTTTTATCTCGAGTTATGGTGTTCTCATCATTTCTATGATTTGGTTATAATGAGCCACAACATGATCATTCAAAAAATGACACAGCTACAAAATTGTCCTTAGATTCTTTTAATTCCACTACAAGCTTTAATTCTTCTGAACACAATCCTTTTTCTCCTTTAAATTCTTTCATCATTGTTGTTTCCAACGGATCAAGTCACATATCTAGACCTCTTCATTCCCTTCTTTTTTCCCTTACACCATTAATCTTTCTTCTGACCTTACACTATTCATAATTACGTTCAATACATCAATTTGTCATCATCTTATAAAGCTTTTTCCTTCAACGTATCAAATATCCCAAATGATATTAAGCAATGCATGAAGGATTCACTGCCTTAGAATAAAAAAATACTTTGAATTTTGCTTCATTGCCACTAAATATATAGGCAGCAAATGGGTATACATAGTGAACTATAATTTTAAAGGGATTTTGGAGAAATACAAAGTTCGATCTGCGGCAAAAGGATACACTCAACAAGCAACTATAGATTTTCATGATAATTTTTTCCAACTGTCAAATTAACAATTATGCATGTTGTATTATTAATTGTTGCCATTAAACAATGGTGTCTTATTCAACTTGGTAATAATAACATTTTTCTAAATGGTGATCTTTTTACAGGAATTTATATGAGGATGCCTTTAGGGCATCTTAGAAAGAAGGAGTAACTTCTTGTCAATTAAATAGATCTATCTATAAATTGTGTCAAACTTCTAAATTAACAATAGTTTCAAAAGTTCAAATTCACCTTATTATTCCATGGATTTGTTTAATTATTCACTTTTTAACTTAGATATAGTAACTCTGTTGTTATTCTTTTAGCGAATGTCGATGACATAATTCTTACAAGTCTTAACTATGCTATATTCAAATAAATTAATATTATATTATGTTGCAATTAGGGTTGCAACAAAAAAAATAAAAATGGAGAATTGAAAATAGAAAAAACAAAGAGAGAAATTAAATGAATCATAACCAAATTTTAAAAAAAAGAAACAATGAAAAAAAAAGGTGTGTTCAACCATATCCAAGTGTAGAAGTTTAATTACGTATGAAGAAAGTATTAATATCCAAAGATGATTATCGTAAAATCAATTACTATAAATTGTGCAAAAATTATAGTTTTTATTTTATTCTCAAATTTGATATTTTATTTATTAAAAAATGAAAGAAAAATAGATTTTAAAATAATTAGACCTGACAAATTTGATCTTTATTTTTACATATTTTTTGGTGTAATCAAAAAATTAAGGTTACATAATTTTTAGAAAACTTTTTAAAAGGTATTTATTTAAAAAATTTAAAATTAAAACATTATTAAAAAGTATTATAAAGAAATTAAATGTAAAACCCTTTTGAGAGGTATTTATAAAAAACTTGACGTAAATCTTTTAAGGGTGTTAAAGTAATTTAAAGAAAAACATTCTTTTATTTTTTGTTTTTCTAAAATTAAGATGAAAAGAATTAGAATTATATAATTTGTGATAAAATAATATATAAATCATAATTTTTAATCATTATGTGAGTTTAAAAATTTATTACCATTTTAGAAATAAATATGTAAACATCTATATATTTGACTTTATAACAAGTGATAAAGTAATTTACAGAATATAAAATATAAAATAATTCACATACACGTAACAATAGATCATGTAATTAAAATTAATATTCTTTACTTTATACATTATTATTATAAATTAATGTAATTTAATTAAAAATAAAAACATGAAAGTATTTATAATTAAAAATTTTCATTTATAATTTGATTTAAATTTTTTTTATTTTATTACGTTGTAAAAGTAAAAGAAAACTTTAATATTTATGATTGGAAGATAATAAAGTAATTTATATATTATTATTTTAATTTTTTACATGTGTATTTTTTTAATTTTATGTGTTTTAATAAAATAAATGATACATTTAAGAAATTATTTTTTTATTCCTCGTTAACTCATTATCTTGAGTGTCTATTTCATATTTACATGGTACACAAAATTTGAGCAAGAAACTAATCTATCAATATACGGTTTCTAAATTTTTGTACAATGTGTTAATATGATAATTTGAATGACGATTAATAAAAGTAAAGCCTATAATATCAATGTTTATTGGCTATTAACTCCTTAATATCAAATAATAATCATGTACTTCATAAATAATTGTGTTAATTACTTTTTAGCTTGTTAGTTTAGGGTTCAGTTGGGTTAGTTTGTTAGTTCTTTTTTTTTTCTTTCTTTGGAATGTGACTGCACACTTATTTAGACTCTTCCTATGCATATATATATATATATATATATATAT